CCACGTGGCAGCCTAGCCTTGTAATGCCCAATCAGCGAGAATCCTTCCTCCCTCACCGCCGTGGACCCGCAGTCCTTGAACGAGATCGAGCCGCACGATAGCAACTGCATCAGGACCGACGAGGCCTTCATCTTGCCACCTGGACAAACCTCCGCCGTCCGATGTAAACCCTCATCGCTCGCCCCGTTCGTGCAGATCACCAGCCGTCCATCCGCCTTCATCAGCGACTCGAGCGTTTCGGGGCTAGAATCCGACGGCGGAGGCGAAATCTCACCCCGGCTCAGCTCCGTACTCTGACTATGAATCTGAAGCACCTCCTGTTGACCTCGACCTTTGTCGTCGCGCTCTTCTCGAACCACACGTCGTCGGTGCCGCTTGTCGTCGGTCTGAGTCGACGCGTCGGCGGCAGCTTTGCCGGCGGACTCTCCGACGGACTCGGTCTTGTACACCTTGTACTCGTTCAAGTCAATCGAGGTCCAGGACTGGTTTCGCCGGCGCACGATCAACGGAGAATCGAAATCGTCGCCGGACTTTTCAGCCTCCGGCGGAGGTCTCAGGGACCTCGACGACGCCGATTCGAGAGCCAGAGAGTTCACAGGCGGGTCGAGAAGCTCCGAGCCTTTGAGAACGTACTCGTGGCCGTGCGACGGGTGTATGAAATCGTTTTCCGACAAATCGTGCCAAACGAAGCCGGTTTTGTAGCCCCTGAAATTTCAAATTCAAAGAAGTCAAAAGATGATGAGATGGTGGAGGAAAATCAGTAATTAGATCAGACGGTGGTGAGCTCGTACCGTTTGGAAGACCAGGAGTACAGAGAAGCCATGCCTTTGCCACGTAGCAAGTTCAAGCGGTTAATGACATCTGTGGAGAGAGAAACATAAAAAATTAATGTGATTTGAGGAGTTGAGAGTGTTTGGTTGGTGAGAGAGTAGGGAGAAAATCATAAAATCGTATAATTTAGTTACCTCTAAGAAAGAGACCTCGAGGAGAAGAGAGAGGGACTTCCATGAAGTGAGGGTGCTCGAGCTGGCCGTTCCTAGAGAGATAGTAAACGACGGGGACTTTTCTCAGAGTCATGGCGATGTTGGGAGTTTCAGTACTGGAAGTCCGGTTAGGGCTGGTTTCCGAGTCTCGCCATTTACTGGGGATTTGGAGGTGGGAAGGTGGGCCTCTGGAAGTGACAGCCATGTCTGTGCCTTAACAGAAAGTTGGAATCAGAGAAGGATGTTTGGTTACCGAGAAAATTATGTGGCAGCGAGGGGATGAGAGAAAGTGCGGGAAAATTAATGACTAATGGGGAAGGAGCAGCCAGGAGAGAAAATAAGAGGAGGGGTTGGCATGTGTTATAACTTATATATGGAGAGAAGAAAGAGGAAGGTGTGAATGGGGAAAATGGAAGATTTTTGGAGGGCAGATGTATTCAAAATGGGGATGCGGCAGACAAGCGCTACCAAACAAATACGGGCCGTTTTAGATTTCAGAACCCTGGCAATACCTATCCCGCCCTCACCGTAAATTCAATTTTTTTAATTTTAGATCTAAAGGGCAAATGTACCGTATTGGATTTATGTCGTTTGCAATATATATATTACGTTAATAATAATACAATTAATCATTTATTTGATGTTTTATAATAAATGGGGTAAAGGTCTAATTCAAGTGTAACGTACACTCGGAGTAAGAAATCCAAAATAGTTCATTTTAAGTAGATGAGATCATGGTTCATATCCCCGTTTATTTTTCAAGATATTTTCATGAGTTATGAATGTAGACAAGATCGTGCTTCATATTTTCGTTTATTGGATTTTGATTATAAATAAAGTCCTCTGATGAAGCTCTCAAGCCCTAAGATTCTTTCTTGAACGTCCTTTTTCTTGAAAAGTCTATTGCAATTCCTCCCGTCGACATCGTTTTAGACGTGTTTTCTTGGGTACATTCCCTCTTAATAATATTCAATGAAAAAACTTTCATACAAAAATCAAACACACTACTAGATGGGTTGACTACTCGTGGTTTGTTTAATTGTTTCCCCTTTGGACCACCTAACTTTGACTAGGAGGCCTTAATTGCGTTTTCAACGTCCTTTCCGCACCTCTGAAAAGTTACCAGAAATCGGGTGGACCCCCAGCCGACGTGGCGTGCCCTCCAATACCTAAATCGTTGACCCTGTTTAGATTGGACAGCTCTGATTAGAATTCGGAGGACTGGTGGACGGTCCAGATCAAAAGAGGCGCTTCAGAGAAGTACAGAAGATCTTGGGGGTAAATGCAGTGAAATATTTTTCATGTTGGCTGTGTCATCATCGTTCTTCGATCTTCTCTCTTCTCAGGTACATTGAAACGTCGTCGTTGTCCGGCGTACCGTGTACATTTGGCAGTAGGGAAGTAATGTGGTGGACCCCAGTAGCCCATATGGGGTGGGGGAGGTGAGGTGACACAGTATTTCTGTGAAGTGAGAGCTGGGGACAAACTTAAACTTTCTTCTGTTTCCTTTTCGGGGTTTCATTTCAAATTCAAATGCAAATTAATTAAAATGGGTCGTTGTTTCTGTCTAAGTTTATCGGCAAAATAGTCCAAAAGTTAGAGGCATATTTTCCATGAGATTGGAGGAGCATTGGCACGTGGGAAGGGGCACATGCATTCATGCAACGACTCTAGGTGAAAAAACCATTTTGACATTGCATTGCGTTGGCCCAATTCAGCACAATGTGCACTCCATTGTCTTGTCTCCACCGACTCAACACCATCTTATATTGATGAATAAACAAATGCAAAGCATGTTTCTTTTAGGCATAATTGGACTCATGATTTCTGAATTTACTTTTTGATTAGTTCTTATAGTCCTCTAATTCGACTTCGTGTGACATGCAAGGGTGGAGCCACATTGGGACCAGTGTGGTCCCGGATCCCCACTCAAGTTTTTTTTTATATTTTAAAAGTAATATGTAGTTATGTATTTCTATATGTATATTATTTCAAATGCTTTACGTTTTGATATGTACCCACATGTGTTGTGACCAACCTATTAAGGCATAAAAAAGTGCTTTAAATTGCCCGTTTGCTCAGCTAGTGGTAGTGCACTCTAGGTGTACAAATTACCTTATTTCCATTTTCAACATTTAAGTAAATGTCTTTGTCCTTTTACTTTCATTTATTTTTATATTACTCCATTTACTTAAGTTTACAATGTGAATAAGGAAGTACCCCCTATTTGGATTCAAATAAAAATACAAGAAAATCAAAATATGAAAAATCGGTTTTAGTGCAAAATACGATTTAGGCTAAAAATGATGGCTCATTAAGTTAATATATACTTCATACTAAAATCCCATAAAATCAAGTTTTCTTATTTGATGTGTAAGGAATAAAAGCCGCTAAAAATTATCTTGAGAAAATGATTATTCCGAAAAACCATTTTTCATACTTAGTCAATATTTTTATATCAAACATTTTTCATGTATGATATGAATGCATGAAGGGACCTAATAATTTTTTTAGTTTGTGAAATTTTGATTTTTTCTTTCTATTGGGTTTAATGGGGGGAAAATCTTTAAAGATATTTGCTAAATTGCCACTCTTTATCTATCTCTTGCAATTTTTCTTGCTCAGAATGCATTTGTCTATCTCTTTGTTGAAGACAATTATGATTGTAATCAATAAGCAATATAATTATTGACATATGTGATATATATACACTATTTTTTTTGTATATATTGTGAGTTCGAATTTTTGATTCTTTATAATTTGTAAAAGGCCCCCACACATATGAAATCCTGACTTTGCCACTGCATCTAACACTCATGAGGCGCGACATCTTTTTGTGACCAGGACCTTTTGATGATGCTTTTGTGAACCCAACTGCATCTATCAATATCAGACATGTTCAGGGGAACTGAGATTACCTCACCACTTTTGCCTTTTGCCATTCTTTTTGCTTTTTTGTTTAATATATTATAGCTGCACTGCATTACAAACCACTTTGTACAAGACCATTTCATAGATGACAAATGTCAAGATTATCTTCAATCTAATATTGGGTCCCTACTGCACCCATCGCAGGTAGGTTCGGGTGTTCCTTTTATTGAGAGTATCTCACGTCAAAAGATGAAAATTGTTTTAGTGCCTCAAAGATAATATGCATTTTCATACCTCAAAGAAGTTGGATGGTTACATTCTAATATAGTATTTACATGTTAAATAATGCTTAAAAATTCTTCAATCTCTCCATTTATTGGCAATTGATCTCGAGTTGTATTCTCGGCTGTAAAACCATGTATATCAGTGCTTTTAATTTTGGAGGAACTTTCAGGGACCAAGGACTTTTTTCCATGGAAGAGTTACTAAGGCGGTGGAGTGGCATAAATGGATCTAGTTTGTGTAAGCTGTTCCTGTGATATACGCACTTTATCTTATGGTTGGCTATAAGGGGCAAACTTCTCTCCACACAATGATTCTACCTGTGCAATTTTCCATGTTGTTGCAGAATCCCATACTTCAATTATCTTCGATTGCTTTCTTGTATTGAATTCTTGTGGTCCTTGGCTGCACTTCATTGACAGACAAACTACACCCTATAAACCACTACTGTATAATCATTTGGAAGGAAAGAAATTACCACAGGAATTTCAAAAGGGAAACAATTATCTTCGATTGCTTTCTTGTATTGAATTCTTGTGGTCCTTGGCTGCACTTCATTGACAGACAAACTACACCCTATAAACCAGTACTGTATAATCATTTGGAAGGAAAGAAATTACCACAGGAATTTCAAAAGGGAAAATAAACCTTCCCTTTGATTCTTAAATTCAAAACCAACTTACTACAACCTTTAGATGCACGCTATGCGAACCCAAATGGAAGTCCTGCCCTGCAAATCTTGCTGCAAAAAGTTATTTGAAATCTGTTTGATGATGTGGTAATTTAACATAAGCTGCCTGCAGTTGATTACTTACGGAACAAGAACGAAACACTCAACTACAAAATGAAACAGGAAAAAACAAGTCTACCAAAATCCCACTTTTACTTTGGTGCCAATAGACCCTTTCTACATTAGTATATACTGCGATTCGCAATAAGTTTCCTGCTAGTTGAATTTCCATTACAGTACTTTGAATGGAGAATAAATATTCACTTCAATCCACATGAGGCATCGGGTAGCGGCACAAGGGACACAAGTGACTGGTTTCCAACCACTGAACAATGCAAGCTTCATGATAAACATGTGAGCAGGGCAAGGAAATAACTTCAACACCAGCTTCAAAGTTCTTCATACAAATAACACAGTTCTCCGTGATTTCAGAGCCATCTAGTCTCACTTTCAACAAACTGTCAATGGACGATTTAGTTGCAGGGATAGGCTTCACCTCATGTGTTTCCACGGATTCCCTTGTAACCCTTTCAATCACATCTTCTGGATTAATAACATTTCTGCTCATTCGCAAAGTCACCTCCTCTACTTCCACAACAATAGGAAGCATGCAGAGGGTTGATTCAACCGCATTAAGTACTTTTCCCACAATAGATGGCTGCTCATCTACTGGGACATGCATTCCGGAAAGAATTTCAGTCATGAGCATGGTACCACTTTCAGATAACAGCGTGCCACGAGGGACCTTAATGGTTTCTTGGGTTACAAGGGTTTTCAATTGCGGAATGATTTGTGGAACATCATCCTCCTCTTCGTCAAACCAAACAACTTCGTAGCACTTGTAGAGCATAAAATTGACTGGAAGCACACAGGCTGAAGGCTGGGACTGCTGCAGGTCCATGTTGTTGGGTTTGCCTATCTTCCACACATTGGTTTTCTGCGACGCATCGCTACGATAATGTACATGGGTTAACATGCTTGAACAAATACCGAAATCTGCAGAAGAACCAGCAATGGTCATCAATGGGGGTTGATGCTATTTGTGCAGAGCTCATAGCATGCTCAATTTCATTGCCACAACAAGAACAATGGGTACTGGTATAGCATAACACTTGGGATTCAAGAGGCATGGGCAACTCAAAAGAAAGCTACAAGCTTTACATTCTTCAAGAAACATCAGTAAAAACAAACCTTCTCTTTCCAATTTTAACACAATGAGGCCCAATTATTCAAATTTGGGGGCTTAAATTTGCTTCTAAGATAACCATATGTTATGTCATTACCCTAAATTAAAAGTAGTAACCTTTTAGCCAAGCACAATTGAAAACAGAGAGGCCTAGACCTCCTGGCATCAACTCTTATAATTAAAATCATAAACCCTAAATTAAAACCTTACCTAAAACCTAATAAAATAAAGAATTGAAAAGAAAAATGAGAAATAAAGAAGAGGAAATACCTGGGGATGAATAAGACAAGCCCGATCAGAAGAAAAAGGAAGAAGAAGACCGGCAGATTAGGCGGGGAAGAAAGCTGAGAAGAGGGAGAGGGTTTGCCGTATGGGGTGAGTTGGCCTGGTCATGAAAATCAATAATAGAGCAAAAGATACAAATTTTTATTTTTATTTTTTCCTTTTTGGAAAAATGATACAGTTTCCCTTCTTCTTTTCAAACTCAATTTAATTGATCTCTTTAATTAATCCCTTGTCTCCACTAATCCAATACAGACACACGAGGTCTGTTATCTTAATTTTTTTTAAAATTTTAAAATTTTAAAATAAAAAAAAAAGTTTAAATCAAGACATGCAGCTATAAGCCTATAAGAATTCAAGACAAAAAAGAATGAGAAGAAGCGTGAAATTAGGAATAAAAACGATATTATTGACAATTTGACATGAAGCTAAGGGGGAGCTTCGGAAAAAAGCTTGGGCCATAAAGGCTTTCCCCATTTTCACCTATTAGTTGGGCCTATTAGTGGTGCACTGGAAGCAACCCTCTGCTTTTGAATGTTCAACTTGGTGAACCGCCGTCCAAAACCCAAGAGTGAGTCCAAACTACAAAGTTGGGCATTGACCAAAGAAAACAAAGTCCAAAGTTAGAAAGACCTCTTTTCTTTTTTTGGGAGCAACCGACACCTCCGGTTGTCGAGGCAGTTTCTCAAACCAAATGCTGACGGTATGCCAAACCGACCGCAAAATAAATAAATAATTATTTAAATGAATATTTTTAATTATTCTATATTAAATAACAAGCTTTAGATTAATCTAACGACTAGGATTTATTATCTTGGATCAATCCTAGCCGTTAGATCTCAGTTCTCTCATCTTATATCTTTAGACTCCAACTCACGCACTTCTCTTCTCTCTCTTCTTTGATTTGAATCTCAGTCTCTGTCACCCTTGCTAGGGGTGAGCATTTGAACGGGTGAATCGAGCTAAATCGAGTAAAAAAAATCAGAATAAATTTGTGTTGACCAAAAATGTCAACCTAGGCTTAAAAATCAAACCGCTTTAGATCGGCTCCCGTCCTGATTCTTGTCTTGGAAAAATCAGTATAAACCAAACCATATCAGTTATGTTAAATTTACTTATTCATTTATATCCAAAATTATTAGTAAACCTAATTAAGATTCAAATAACATAGTAACTCCAATTAATATTTAGATATTTTAGCCCAATTAATTCCCAAATGTCTTTATTCCAATTTATACCCAACTAAATATCTACTCTACTCCAAAAAAAACTAAAATTCTCTGTAGCGCTCTCTAGAGCATCCTAGGGGAGTGAGTATAGATCTTTCCAGACTCAAGGTACTACGCCAGAAGGATTGGATGCGGTGGCTGGACTGACAGGTGCTAGTCGACACTATTGGTGTCTGGATTGTGAGAGGTTGCTGGTTCACAGACTCCCTTTGCGTTCGTATGGAAGCTATGGTGACGGAGTTTTCCTCACGTTTCGCCCTTATTGATGCTGAATAAGAAGAGGTTGTTATTGATTCAAGAATAGTTGCTGGAATCAAGTCAGCACGTTTTCTTCTCGTGGGAAAACTTTTGACTATTAAACTCTATAACAAGTAGGCTCTACATAGAACCCTTTATTCTATTTGGCAACCTAAGGCGAAGGTAACTATTGTGGATATTGGAGATCAAAAGAGTTCTTGTGCTTTTAAATAAGCGAAGCTCGTGAGGTCTATGGAACCGGTGTGGAACCAGCCTAAGACCCTCCGATGCTCAAGTAAGATTGTTGTTTTGAGAGCTCTTGCTGTTGACCATATAAAAGTATAAAAGTCAAGCTGAAAAGTCTTACCCCTGTATTGCAGTGGAAGGGGCCTTTTTATAGGGGGCATTTAGTATGCTCTTAGTGCTCATTTTCGATGTGCGACTCGTGGGAGGGCCACTCAAGGTACTACGCCAGAAGGATTGGATGCGGTGGCTGGACTGACAGGTGCTAGTCGACACTATTGGTGTCTGGATTGTGAGAGGTTGTTGGTTCACAGACTCCCTTTGCGTTCGTATGGAAGCTATGGTGACGGAGTTTTCCTCACGTTTCGCCCTTACTGATGTTGAATAAGAAGAGGTTGTTATTGATTCAAGAACAGTTGTTGGAATCAAGTCAGCACGTTTTCTTCTCGTGGGAAAACTTTTGACTATTAAACTCTATAACAAGTAGGCTCTACATAGAACCCTTTATTCTATTTGGCAACCTAAGGCGAAGGTAACTATTGTGGATATTGGAGATCAAAAGATTTCTTGTGCTTTTAACTCCAAGGATGAACAAGATACGATTCTCCGAGAGGGTCCATGGCTCTTTAATGGATATCTCATGGCGTTGGCCAAAGCTGATGGCACCATTAACTCGAAACACATTCCACTTTTGAAGTAAGATTTCTAGGTACAAGTTAAAGGACTACCCCTCAGATATATGACCAGCACTATGAGGAAGATTATCGATGACGCGCTGAGTGGATACATGGTCACGGACCAGAGTAAAAAAATGGAAAAACTAGAGAGCTTTTGCGTATTCGGGTGACCTTGAATATCTCCAAACTCTTATGGTGTAGTCTTCTACTCTGGCTCACAGAGAACCCATTGAAATTGATGTGAGGTATAAGAAGCTACCTACTCCATGTTATCAGTGTGGGATCATTAGACATACTGAACTTTCGTGTCACATACCAGGTAATGAAGAACATGATGATTTGTCAATATCTTATGAATAATGGTTTCAATTAGATATGTATGGGCTTGAGTATCGCATACCGACAAGGAGACAGTTTGGTTTCCCTAGCTCCTTGGGTTGGTCTATGCGTGTGCCGGAAGAGGATGCCTCCTCCCCGGCAATGGCAGGGGATGACGACAGTATTGAGTTGAGCATGCCTAACCAGCTTGCCACTAATGCTTTACAAAATCTGGAAGGTTTTCAAACTGCACAAGCCTCAACATTGACTCAGCCTTTTCCTCGCCCTATTCCTAAAATTCCAGACCTAAATGAGCAAATTGACTTCTATGAGGAGGATTCTCTGGGCCTGCTGGTCCTTATTCTTGTTAGGGAAGATGCAACAAAGTTCCATACCTTTGGACGGTGATCATGTTCCTCATTCTCTCTTAGGGCCCGATGATTGTGGTATTTCCTTCAATTTATCATTAGGGAGTTAGACCAATAATCATGACTTTTGTGATGCCGAAATTCAGGGACGTAATTCCTCATTATTAAGCCGTATAAAGAGGAACCCATGCACTGTCACGGCCTTAGGCTCTCCAACCAACCAGCCCATGATTCTACATATTCCTCATCATCTAGACCCAAGGACCCAAAATCCCTACACTTAGCATTTTACTAAGGGAGCCCAAAATCTGTCACTGTGCTCTAACCCATTCAAACAAGAGTCAAAATTAATTGGCTGCTAGTGCATTTGTCATAGGCTATACCTACAATTATGTCCATGGAGGATCTTGGTTTGATGGGCAATTGCAGTTTGAGGACTGCACTAGTTCACGCTTGAAATTTAAGAAGTTTGACTTACATGAAAGCAGGATAGCTAAAGCCACCTTAATGCTGAATGAAATCCAATGGGTAACTAAGGTTCAGTCTATAACCAAATGTGAAGTAAAAAGATATTATACTTGTGTGCTATGAGTACTGAGAAAATCTCACAACTTGGTTTTAGAAGAGTATAGTAGCCCTACTCTATTTGGAAGTCATGATATGATGATCTAGTCCACACTTGGTGGGCTGAATCTATAAGGTGAGTTTGATTCATTCAGTGTTTTGTTTTTACTCTTTAAGTTTGATTTTTTATACTAGTTATTTTGTTTCAAAGATTTTTTTACTGAAAAATATTTTTACCGAAAAAGATTTCTTCTGACAGAAGAATTACTTATTTACTTTTTTGTTTATATTAGGTCTATGTTGCTCACAATTCAAAACATTCACTCTCATGGACTTTTCCATAGAAGGCTATCAATGGGTGCAACTTATGGAGTTAGTCATTCTGGTCAACTCAAGATTCTCGGAGTTGCAAATTTTCTCGAGGGGTTAGATTCAAATGCAATATTGAGGCAAAAATTGATTGACCATACCGGATTCAGGGATTGGCTGAGGAATTTGTTATTGGCTCAACTACACCATATTTCTGCAATAGATGAGCTTCGCTTCTTGGATTTTTTTGATATGCATGGAAAAGTTCAACTTTAACTCAACTACAATCAATTGGTGAAGAAATTAACCCATCATCCTTTCCTCCTTAGCCTAAACTCGAGAGTTGGGTACTGCTTTGAGGTTCACCAAGCTTATGAAAATGACTCTTCGGAAAATAATGTCTTCGAACAATTTATATCCCTACAGTCCTCTCAACAAATTCAGAGGTGGAAATGGCAATTCAAACATTTTAAGGGTTGGCATAGTCGTATCAAGTGTCATCTAATATTCAAGGAAGTGGATGAGAATTCGTGTGGTTGTTATGTTTGGAAAGTGGCTGTCTTCCTTCGCTTCCTACGCAATTTGAAGGTGCATTACATCACTGATACAGAAGTTTTCGACGTTGACAGATATGTGCGTAGAACTTTAGGCCCGAGGTTTTTGAGCTATCTGCATGAACACCACATGAAGAAGAGTGATAGGTGATTGATAGATATTGAGAGAGTTAAATATAATTTCAGAGATACTGCCTAAAGTCAAAATTTTCTAGTGGCTGGTGTGTTCAAATATTCGCCCTACAAGATTTAGCATTTCCAAGAAATGCATCCTGATTGAAATCACATGTGCCTACTGTGGCAACTCACAAGAATCGATGGTGCATATATATTCTATGTGATTGCCCATTTGTTGTATCTGTTTGGAGTTGCTCCATACTGGCCGGTCGACGGTCTACTTCTTCCAGCGAATCGACAAAGGATTGGGTTTATACTTACCGTGATCTCTTCTCCGCACCGAACTTTGCTGTTTTCTTTATGCTTAGATGGACCCTGTGGGAGGCTTGGAATGCACTAGTTTGGGAGAACAAACTTTCTTGACCGTACGAGGTATGCAAAAATGCCATGTCTCGCCTCAAGGAATTCTTGAAATCATATGCTCGAGCTTCCAAGGTTGTTACACGAACAAACCAGGTGATACACTGAGAGAAACCTCATATGGGCTAGCTTAAAGTTAACATTGATGGTGT